CCCCAAAACCCCAAAACCCCAAAACCCCTTGGTAGAGGGATGATATTGAAGATTTTTTGGAGGTAAGACGGGCGGTTAGAATACGCACAGAGATAGTAAAGAATCGAGTTTCCATTTTTGAAGGGAAGAATTGGGTATTGGGGATTGACGATTTGTAGTGAATTTGAGTTTTTGAGATAAGAGGTTAGATTATTTGATTTACTTTATATTTAGATGGTTTGGAGATGTTTAAATACAATAGTTTTAGAATATTTGATTCAATTTTTCGGCTCTCTTCACATGAGATTGATACCCGTTAAGTGCAAGTGAGAAATTCTCTTTGTTTTCTTTGTCAAACTCGATGCAGCCAACACTACAGTAATCAACTATTATTTTCTCTCCATTGCCAAAATCTCTGACAGAATCAACTGACAAAGCATGAGATACTGCAATAACAACCTGAGGAGCTTCACTCTTTATGTTAATATGATTATTCTCTCTCATGTAGTCATGATATCTCTTGTAAATCTGCTCTAAAGACTCTGGATACCTTTCAGAAAGTTTCTCATATTCTTCAGAGTCAGGGAGATTAAGTGTAACTGAGGGATCCATGAATCTATCACTAAACTCTTGGTTACTTAGTTCTCTTCATAAGAAGGAATCAATTGGTGGTTTTTCCTCAAAGATCTTGTCCCAAAGACCTTCCATAACAAGCGGCTCGACATTTACCTCTGTAGTGCCAATCTGCTTTGCAATAATATTAGCAGTCATGATTCATCTGAGGAAAGGAGATGTAACAATCTTAACTTTGGCATCAGGACATGTCTCCAAAATCTGCAAAATTACCTTCCCAGTGGCTTCTGCTTGTTCTTTACCAAAATCAGTAATCTCAAGGTCTCCGTGAAAAGAATCACCTGACTTGTCAGCTCTCTGACCATGCCTTACAAAGAAACAATAATCCTTATCTTTAGCCAAAGAAAGAGGAGGGGAGTCTACAACTGGAGTGTCTTCCATTACAATTAAATACTACCAGCATCAATCCAAAACACCTTAAATGGGGTTTTGGGGTTTTGGGGTTTTGGGGTTTTGGGG